ATACTTAAAAATAAATAGAATAGAAATAAAAAACATCTACTTTGATAACTATAAAACATTGTTGAAAAGAATTAAAGCCCTAAATAAAAGACACACTATGTTGCAATGCAATCCATACCAGTTGGGTTGTTGTTGTTTTGTTTTTCATAATGCAAGTGCTTGACTTAAACACATTGCTAGTCCCCCCACCTCTCTTTGGTTGATTTTGATAACTGATCATTTCAGCCAATTGTTTTTCTCTTTCCATAATTTAAATTCTTGCTCTTAGGTTTTAAATCCACCAATAAAGAATGAGCTCACAAAACCCTAGGTCCCCCCCACCGACCCCATCAACCTAAATAGAAGCAGAACCCTAGTCCTGTGCACACAAGCGCTCCCTTTGCCTCTCCCTCTGCCCCCACCACCCCTAGACCTTGCTGTGTGACACTCTACATGTGCTGTATAATTTCCAGAACTTGTAAGTAATAAATCTTGACTCTTTCAGAGTTTCCTGATGGTTATTGCTAAGGGTGTCTTGCAATCATAATAAGAACCACAAAGATCAGAGTAGGTCCAGACACAACACTGGTTATCAAAAGGCTGAGACTAGCACAAAATACACATTCATAGATTAGAAGATGTAATATGGTTAAGATGGCAACACTCACTAAATTGGCCCACAAATTCAATGCAATCTTTATCAAAATCCCAGCTTTCTTTTCAGAAATTGACAAGCTGATGCTAAAATGCATTTTGAAATGCATAGCCAAAATAATCTTGAAAAAGATAAGCAAAGTGGAAGAGCTCACAATTTCCCAATTTCAAAACTTACTAGAAAGCAACAATAATCAAGATGATGTGGTACTGGTATTAGGATAAACATATAGGTAAACAGGATAGAATCAAGATCCCAGAAAAAAGTAGAGGAAGTATTAGCCTTTTCAAGAAATTGTGCTAGAGCAACTGAATATCCACATGTAAGAAAATGAAGTTGGACACCTACATTTCACCATAGAGAAAAATTAATTCAAAATAGATTTAAGACTTAAATATAAGAGTAAAACCGTAAAATTCCTAGAGGAAAACATGGGAATAAATCTTCATGATTTTGGACTAGGCAATGGTTTCTTACATGTGACACAAAAGCAAAAATATTTTTAAAAAAAAGGATAAATTTGACTTCATCAAAATTAAAAACCTTTATGTTTCATTAAAAATTTTTTTAAAAATATTTTATTTTTGAGAGAGAGAGACAGTACGAGCAGGGGAGAGTCAGAGAGAGAGGGAGACACAGAATCTGAAGCAGGCTCTAGGCTCTGAGCTAGCTGTCAGCACGGAGCCTGATGCAGAGCCCAAACCCACGAACCGTGAGATCATGACCTGAGCCGAAGTCGGACGCTTAACCGACTGAGCCACCCAGGCGCCCCTCATTAAAAAAAATTTTTTTTTTTTCAGAGAGCGAGAGAGAGACAGCAAGCCAGGGGAGGGTCAAAGACAGAAGGAAACATAAAATCTAGCAGGCTCCAGGCTCTGAGCTATCAGTACAGGGCCTAACACAGAGCTCAAACTCCTGACTGCGAGATTATGACCTGAGCCGAAGTCAGACACTTAACTGACTGAGCCACCCAGGCGTCCAAAAAATGTTTTATGTTTCAGGAACACGGCAGGGATGTCCACTCTCACCATTATTGTTTAACATAGTGCTGGAAGTCCTATGTTTCAAATAGCACTCTCAAGACTGCCCTGATAATGACAATATCAAGACAATATAAATTGTGAAAAAACAATCCAGAGAATCAGAGAAAATATTTGTAAGTCATCTATATGATCCAGAATATATAAAGAATTCTTACCACTCAGTAATAGACAAATAACCCAAGTAAAAATGGGTGAAGAATTTGAATAGACATCTCTCCAAAGAAGATAAACAAATGGCGAATAAGCACATGAAAAAAATGTTCGACATCATTAGCCATCAGGGAAATGCAAATCAAAACCATAATCACATACCACTTTACACCCAGTAAGATGGTTATAATTAAAAAGACAATCAACAAGTGTTCAAAAGAATGTAAAGAAATTGAAACCCTCATATATTGCTCATGGGGATGTAAAATAGCGCATAATCCTCAATTCTACTCCTAAGTATATTCACAAGAAAGATGAAAACATATGACCACACAAAAAACTTGTTCCTGAATGCTCATAGAATTACTCATAATAGCCAAAAGTGTGGAGAAAAACAGATACCCATCAACTGATGATGAGATAAAACAAAATGGGTATATTCATACAATGGAATATCACTCAGCAATACAAAGAAATGAAGTACTGACACCCGCTGCAACACAGATGAACCTTGAAAACATTATGCTAAGAGAAAGAAACCAGAAACAAAAGGCTACACATTGTATGATTTAGTTTATATGAAGCGTCCAGAATAGGCAAATCAATAGAGACAGAAAAATAAGTGGTTGTTTGGTGCTGGGGATGGGGGAGTGGGGGTGACTGGGATTAACTCCTAATGGGTATAGGGTTGCTTTTTGAGATGTTGAAATGGTTCCAAAATTAGATTATGGCTATAGACGTACAACTCTGTGAATATGCTGAAAACTATTGAATTGCATACTTTAAATGGGTGAATTGTGTGGCATGTGAATTGTATCTCAATAAAAGTTTTACAAATACATAAGGTTACAAAGAAAACTAGCTACACAGATCTAGGTTCATCAAAATAAAAAAACAAAAACAAATTCTTGGGGTGCCTGGGTGGCTGAGTCGGTCGAGAGTCCCACTTCAGCTCAGGTCATGACCTTGTGGTTCGTGAGCCCAAGCTCCACATGGGGGTCTGTACTGACAGCTCGGGGCCTGGAGCCTGCTTCAGATTCTGTGTCCCCCTCTCTCTCTGCCCTTCCCCCACTCACACTCTGTCTCTCAAAAATAAACATTAACTGATGAATGGATCAAGAAGATGTGGTATATTTATACAATGGAATACTACATGGCAATGAGAAAGAATGAAATCTGGCCATTTGTAGCAACGTGGATGGAACTTGAGGGTGTTATGCTGAGTGAAATAAGTCAGGCAGAGAAGGACAGATACCATGTTTGCACATATAGGTGGATAAAGAGGAACTAAACAGAGGACGATGAGGGAGAAGAAGGGGAAAAATAGTTGGGGAGAGGGAGGGAGGCAAACCATGAGAGACTCTTGAATGTTGAGAACAAACTGAGGACTGATGGATGTGGGGGGGAGGGGGAGATGGGCATGAAGGAGGGCACTTTGGGGATGAGCACTGAGTGTTATGTAGAAACTAATTTGATAATAAACTATTTGTAAAAAAAATAAATAAATAAATAAATAAAAAGAAAAAAGAAAATAATATAAACATTAAAAACATAAAATAACAAATTCTTGACAAAGTATTAAATGTGCTTCTTTAAGAAAGAACTAAATAACAAGATCCAGGTCTCATAGCTATCTTAATTTTGAAGTAGTGATAAATATAAATAAATTTTGATACATGTGCAAGGGCGACAACACAAATGATTGATGGTTCCATTACCACCTCTAAAGAACAGAGCTGAAAACAGGTGTGAGGCGGGGTGGGAGGTGGAGGGCAGAATAATCAAACCAGCTCATGTTTTCCTCTGATGAAGCTCCAGCACTAAAAAGCAGGTATAAGACACTTCCCTTCAGTGAGGCTGGAATTTGCAAGAGGGATTCCAGCCTAGTGCTTTCAGCATGTTTATGCCAAGTTGGCCATGCAAGCTGAATCACTGCCAAGCTGCTTAGACCTCTGACTGTGCCCTTTAGTCACCCTGCAAAGTAGTGGAACAGGGCAGGAGGGAACCCAGTGATGCCTGGTTGCCAGGGCAAAGCAAGTTGGAGGGGGAATGGGAAACTGACACAAAGAGAAAGAAAGTATTAAAATATCTAAAGGCTTGGAATGCCCTCCCCACTGTTCCCAACCAGAAAAGGTGGGGTGTGACCAGACTAGCATAGGGCATCTGGGGCTAGAATTGGCATTCTCACCCTCCAATTTCTCCATTGACTGTCCCCTCTACCAGATTCCCACCCTCAGGACTGATATTCAAAACATTTGACAAGTGGTAACAAATGAGCACAGACCAAGATGGGCAAACGCCAGTCACAGTACTAGAATAGGACCCTAGAGGTCTTCTGCTGTGTTACCTACATTGTGGGGAGGTCTCAGAGGTCTTAGAGGCAGGATTAAGGCAGTGTCTCTTTGTCAACTGGCATGGATTAGATTCAACTCCTCTGCTAACAACTAAGATAGCTATAACAATATACATCACTCCAAAGGTAGGATGGATAGGGAGAGAGAGGAGAACCTCCTTAAGGCTTTATAAATGAATGTTGTGCAAACGGTTGATGCTTACATTCATGGGATATCTCAATGATTAAACATGTGGGGATTTTCCCTCTTGACAGAAGATAAGGTCCAAAAGAGATTCTGGCATGCCACTCTAAGCAGCTTTTCAAATTTAGACTTGAGAAAGCTGCTTAACTATGAAAGTAGGGCTATATTTGGGTTAAAATCTTAATTCCCCACTTTTTCATCATCTAGGAAGAAACCACACAAGCAACCTGAGGTGGGGACCAACAGATACTGGCTCACATTCCCAGCTGGCCCGGATCTGAACACTGAGGGTTGTCTGTCCAGTAGGGCTCTCTCTCCTTGGAGTGGGCACTAACCCCCAAGGATCCTCCTTCTACAGACTCATCCTTCAAGTCACAACCTAGGTTTAATTCTTCTTCCCATGAAGAGAAAGTCTCCAAACAGAGAAGGAAATTGGATAAGGTAGATCCTTGAGGCACAGGGAAAATACATCCCTGGGCTATGCATGGGGCTCCTGAGAAGTAAGAGAGGAGGTGAGCCATTTTAACAACAAACATTATTTTTTTTATTAAATTTCTAATCAAATACAACAGTAATTTCTTTTCCTTCATAAAAATTTTAAATATTTATAACATTACCAATTTGGGAAAAGACAAACAAAAGAATAAAGAGAAAAGTGAACAAAAGACTAATTCCAAGATAGAATAAATAACAGCATATTTAAATGCCTGCCTGGCTCTGGTGGCTGCTGCCAGAGTGCCAGATCCTCAGCCTCAGAATTAGCAGTTCAAAATCTCCTCCAGGTTCAATGTGTCCAAAGGGGGGATTTTAGTGACTTCAAAGAAGACCCTGCAAAAGGAAGAGGGGTCTGCTCAGTCTAAAATGGGCCAAAGCAAACAGGGTCCATGGACTAAGTGGGACATAGGGCTCTTAGTTCCCTATCTTGCTTTAACCTTAAAGCAGAAAGTAAAGTGACAGTACTGAATCTTTTTCCTCAAGTGAGGCTAGCCTGTACCTCCCCATGGCTGAGAACAAACCCATCCTCACTGGAGCTTGGTACTTACCGGTGAGAATACTTGGAATATACAGTCTTGAGCCTACTGGAAGGACGCAAAGTCAGCAGGATGTTTAGCTGCTTGACCAAGGGGTGAAGATCAGAGGTCTTGTAGCCACTGCAATACTCCAGGGCAGGAGCCTGGATGAAGCAACATGAACAGGGACTTTTACCACAGGAAGCAGACCCTTCCTTTCTCTCAACTACGCCAAGTCCAAACTTCCTATACATGGTATAGGTAGGGAAGATAGTCAAACATTTCAAGAATGCATACAGTGTAGACACTGACAGATAATTACAGAGTACTTCCTAGAAGCCTACGTTCCAGCTGCGAACTAGTGGTATGGCTATCCGTATGTACATATGTACCATATACCCATACGTACCAGTTGGACATCAGACTTCGTGGTAGGTATTCATGTAAGCTGAAGTCCACTAAAGAATCTAAGGAACATGACTGGCTTTGTAATGTACTCACTCTCAGGTCAAGAGCCAGTAGCCAGGCAAACTTCAGAACAAACTTAAGGTCCCAAATCAACAGACCACAGGAATTTAAGGCGGCTACCCTTCTCTGGCTCTAAGAGCTATTATTCTATGCATTTATTTTCTCATTAAATTTTAAGGATGCTTACTATGTGGCAGAAGTAATATGGCAGACCATTTGAGAGCAAAGGTTCCAGAGGCAAACTGCTTGGGTTCAAATTCTAGCTCTATCAACAGCAGGAACTTGAACCCAGTTTCCCACTATGCCAAATGGGGATCATTACAGTAATTGTATCATAGGATTAAATGAATTAATATACACAATGCATATGGAACAGAGTCTAGCACATAGTAAGTACTCAAACCATGCTAGCTAGGATTAATATTACCAAGCCCTGTGTAGGCTGCTGTGAATACAAAGATGACCCAGACTCCTGCCCCTCAGGAACCTGTAGTGGAGGAGACAGACATGCATGCAGAGAATTACAGAACATGTGAGAAGGTCTATAATGGAAGTGAGAAGGACACTGGAGGAACACAGCAGCAGAACCCATGAATTTTGGTCAGGAGAGTCACAGAAAGCTTTGTAGAGGAAGGCACATCTGCAATGGGAGTGTTGAAAGTCAAGTGGGAGCTCCACAGGTAGAGAAAAGAAGGTTCATCTATAAGGCAGTGGTTTTCTAAAAATGTCTTAAAACAATTTTCCCTGAACTCCTTTTTTTCTTTTTTTTTTTTTAATTTTTAAACATTTATTTTTTGAGAGACAGAGACAGAGCATTAGTGGGGAGGGGCAGACAGAGAGGGAGTCACAGATCCCAAAGGCTCCAGGCTCTGAGCTGTCAGCACAGAGCCCGACGCGGGGCTCGAACCCACGAACCACGAGATCATGACCTGAGCCGAAGTCGGACGCTTAACCGACTGAGCCACCCAGGCGCCCCCTGAACTCCTTTTTTTTCAATCATCTTACTTGGAAGCCCAAACATCTTACCTGCAATTAGGGGTGGGAGCTGACAAGCCCACCGGTTTGGATCCCTTTACCTTTTACATGGCCCCTGAGACACTTCTACAGGAATCCCAGGGCTCTGCTGAATACTGTTTAGAAACCACTGCCACAGGGAAAGGGCAATCATTTGCATGCTGAGCAGGGGAGTAACACAAGGGGTAACACATTATATTGTGTGTGTCAAATAAGATTAATGGCCCCGTTGTCACTACACAGGCTCAGGCCCCTATGCTTCATCTCAACTATTATGAAAGCATACTCACTAGTGTTCCCACTTTTATACTCTCTCTAATTTACCTTATATACTGATATACTGGAGCTGTTTTCAAAACACACAAACAGGAGTATGTCACTCCTCTGCATAAAAACTTTCCAATGCCTTACAGAGTGGGTCTCAGCTTGGCATCAAAGGTCTCTCACAATCTGACGACACCCTACCATTCTGGTCTCATCTCTCACTATTCCCTATTAATATATCCTCTGCTCTATCTATAGGAAGTGTCTTATTCTGCCCGGAATACATCACACTATTTTCTCATTGCCTTCACATCTTTTCAGTTCTCATTCCCTCTACCTAGAATGTCTTCTCTCATAGGTTCCTACTAATCTTTCAAGACCAACTCAAAAGTCACCTCCTCTGTGAAGCCTTTCTTATCTATAGAAGCAGTATACACAGCACAGAAGACTGTGGGGGCACCTGGGTGGCTCAGTCAGTTAAGCATCTGACTTTGGCTAAGGTCATGATCTCACAGTCCGTGGGTTCAAGCCCCACATTGGGCTCTTTTCTGACAGCTTAGAGCCTGGAGCCTGCTTCAGATTCTGTGTTTCCCTCCCTCTCTGCCCTCCCCGATTTGTGCTCTGTCTCTCTCACAAATGAATAACTGTTAAAAAAAAAAAAAACTTAAAAAAAAAAAAGAGAAGACTGTGGAGCCATACTATCTGGATTCAGATCAGGGTTGACATTTAGCCAATACTCACTGGCACAGCCATGCCAAGTATTAAAACACTGATATATTTCTATAGTGGTTGGCAAGCAGTTTGCTGCCCTGAACCACTCAACTGCCCCCCCCTTAGCACCTATCACATACCCCCAGGATCCAAAGGTCAAAGCCTGGAACAGCATGAGGCCTCTAGGGCCACAGTTCCAAAGCTATGGTCACATCACTTCTGATTACACAGTAGGTATACAATGTGAGCACTACTCCTAATCCCCAAAGACTCGCTTTGCCCCTCATTAGCAAAACCTGGGAAGTTATTTCTTATCTGTAAAGTAAGGATAAGAGTACTGATCTTGTTAAGATTAAATGTTAATACACAAAGTACTCACATCACTGTCTAAGCACTCAACAAATGCTAGTCATTTTTTTTTCTTTTTCATCATCTTCACTGCCATTTACTGAATGCTTTCTCTGTCTGAAGAAATTTCAGTATGAGTTGTCTGAATTACCACAAATGTTTCTAAGATTCTTTCTCAGTGTATAGAGCTTTTCCTAAAAGGAATTGTCCTGGCCCCAGGATTTCTGGGTTGGAGGGGCTTAGGAGTAAGTTTTGTTTTGTAGTGGGGAAGGATTTAGGTGCCTTCGTCTTCAGAGAAGAGCACTATACTGTACCATTAGACACATGGACAGTTGCTTCCACAACTCTGTTCTCTGGTACTGTGCCTCTCAAATTCTGTTCCAACGAGCTCCCCTCAGGGAAGTGAGGAACAACCTTGCTGAGGGGACTGAAAGGGGCAGGGGTAAAATGGGGCCAGGTGAGAAGGAGGCTCATCTGTCCTCTGCTGCAACCAGAATAACTTCATATTAGTCTGTTTCATGATATTGGGCTTTCTTTGGAACAAGAGGTACTGTGACTAAGAAAAATAAAATAATTCAAAACCATTGCTGTTAAAAGCCTTTTAGGCAGCCACGCTCCTAACACGTGGAGATGTCATTTTATCACGATGGGTGCATGGTGGTTTTGTAACGAAGTTTCCCATGACCCTAATTTACACCTTCCTCCTGAACAGACCCTGGTTTTTTTTTTTTCCTTTTCATTGAAATACAGGCAACATACAATACTTCTTAGTTTCAGGTGTATAACACAGTGATTCAACATTTATATACGTAACAAAATGCTCACCAGGATAAGTGTAGCTACCATCTGCCACCATACAACATTATTACAATGTTATTGACTATATTCTCTATGCTGTACTTTACATCCTATAACTTATTTTGTAACTGGAAATTTGTACTTTTTAATACCCTTCACCTATTTCATCCATCATCACCTCAGCCCTCTCCCCTCACCAGTGTGTTCTCCATATTTATGAATCTGTTTGTTTCATTTTTTTTAGATCCCACATATAAGTGAAGCAATGCAGTATTTGTCTTTCTTTTATTTCACTTAGTATAATATCCTCTATTATAGGATATAATAGAGGTCCATCCATGCTGTCACAATGGAAAGATTTTATTCTTTTTTATGGCTATGTGTGTGTGTGTGTGTGTGTGTGTGTGTGTGTACACCACATCCTCTTTATTCATTCATCCATCGAGGGGCACTTAGGTTGCTGCCTCTGTGCTTTTAAATATCAACCCCTTGCCCCCAGCAAGTGTTTGTTTACCCAATGTCCAAGCTTCTTCATGTAGAGGGCCAGCAAGAAGGAGCCAGCGGCTAGCTTGGAAGCCCTCTCCTGGATATAGTCATATTCCTGCAGAGTCATCTCACAGATGAAGCGGGACAATGTCAGCGTCTTCATGCTGGCATGCAGGCACTAAAGGTAGCAAGAACACTGGCTCAGCAACCACTTCAGAAAACCAGCACCAAGCAGAAGACCCCCTGCTGTACCCATTCTCTCCATTTACCCAACCTCAGGCCTAAATGGCTCTCTGCCTGAACAAGTTACCTTTCCTGCTAACATGACTCACACAAAGGACCCTAGCCCCCAAAGTACAGAATCTTTAGCGGGGGTGGGAATCTGAAATTGGCAATGGGATTTGCTACCTTTAGGGTTTTTAGTCAATTTGTCAAGTGTGCTTCCGGTACCCTCCCAGCTCCCCTTTCTTTGCAAGTCATCCTCTGAAGAACCAAAGCCCTCCAACTGTAACTTTGCACCTGGCTCCACCCTAGAAATATTCTATGCCTCAAAAGAACTTCCCATTTCTTCATTGACTCTTTTTAAAAAATATATATATAACCAAGAACATATAGACAAAAGTAAACACATGTACTTGTAGAATACAATAAATAATTATAAAGTGACCTCCCCTGTAACTAATACACAAATGAAGGAAGAGAACTTTACCAGGATCTCCCCCAAACTCCCCACATGTCCCTTCCTGACCAAAGAATCTTCTTCCCCTCCCCTACACTGCCTTCACCTCAAAACTTAAGGGCACACCACAAAAATCTGCAGTTTTGTTCCCCCCACACTTCATAAAGATTGACAATCTAGGAGGACAGATTGAAGAAATTCCTCAGCCTGCTCCCATTGCCCCTTTCCCTTTTCCTACCACTCAGGTGGCCACTCTGGCTATGGAGGGGACTAACCCATTAGTGGCAGAATGAGGATGTGCCTCCTCCCTCTTACCCTAGCATATCTTCGCAGAAAATGATAGGCAATGGGAATGTTGATATCAAATCTGAGTGTCTGCAGGATGCTGATTTCCATGGTGAGCATCTCATCTCGCTGATAAATATCATCACAGATGTACAGAAAGTCATCCACACAAGGTGGGCAAGATTCCTGTGGGTGGAGAGGAGAGATATCAAAAACAGGCAAAGACAGCCCACTCCTCTCTGCTTTAAGATAAAAGGCAGTGGGAGAGAGAAGTGAAGGAGAGGAGGCAATAACATTTCCCAGCATAAACCTTCAGAGTAGCTCTGAGAGCAAACTTCTCTCGACTTGAGTGGCCCATCTGAAAAACAAAATCAGAGACATAGGAGAAATCTGCCCCAAAACTGCACTATGGGGAGAGAATAGGGCCTTTTGGGGTTTATTCTTACACTGTAAGAAGTGATATAATATGGCACAGGAACCGGGAGCAATGATCTGTCTTTTAAGGAGTGAGAGCCTGGAATGGGAAATCTAAAATTTGCTCTGGGAGAAGGGAGGGAAGGGAGAAAAGGAGACTATGGAAAGTGGAGCTGGAGAGAGAACATTAGCCCATACTTTGTTTCCTAGTCTAAGAAATGAATAACGATGTTTGGGAGGGGTACTACTGGGGAAGGAGTCAGTGAGAGGCAGGCAGGCAGGCACAGAGAGAGCCTAGGCAGAGACTGAGGACTGCAGGGGGTGGGAGGATGAATTTGGGGGCTAGACTGGGAAGATCCAGACCCAGCCAAGGGTGAGAAGAACCCCGGTCCAGGAGCACCTTAACATGCCCTGCCCTCTGCAGGTTGAACCCTGGTTGTGGGGAGAGGACTAGGAGGAAAGAAGACCCCCTGAATGTTTTATCTAGCTACACCTAACTGCCCACCCCAGTGTTCATCCCACATCTTTCTCTTTCTATTTTTAGATTTCAGATTAGATTAAGCCTCTAGTTTTGCAGACAAGGAAACTAAGACACCGAAAGAGGAAACAAATCACTCAAGTAACACAGTAGCCTAGCAGCAACACCAGGGCAAGAAACTCTCCCTTTCTTTGCTCTACTCAGACAGTAACTTGATTAATTTTCTCCAGGCTCTATCAACTTAGGCTCACCTCAAATTTTGCTGCAATCAGAAACGCAGTGGAACCAACAAGTTGGAGCTTGTCCCTCTTGCACATTACCTCCATAAGGTAGTGATCCACCAGTTTCACTGCCAAGTACAGGGTCTCGTGACTCATCTCAAAGGTCATCTAGAGTAATACACAAACAGAAATCTGCATATTGTCCCACCCCAAAGCCACACCCAGCAGATCTAACCACCCGGTCTGCAACACGGTAGAGAGTGGCCAGCTGACATTCTGCTATGAATGTGGGAACTCCTTCAGCTAGGTGCCTGGCCAGATCTCCTGTGCCTTTGAGGACCCTGGGCATTATATAGCCTTACACATTGAGGTAGATGATCAGTCTTACAAATCAGAGAGAGATGCTCTGTCTTCTCTATGAGCATCTCGAATGAACACACTCTCTTGCCTTGGTCTCCAATACCTAGATTCTTGCTTTCCCCACTTGGTACTACATTATATAGTGAACTCCCCCAAAGAGATCATGTTTATTTAGCTCTAAGATACAGAGACCTGTTTATTATTCACTCATTAGTGTCTCTTCCCAATTAGATATACTATTAGAATATATGAATTGGGAGCAAGTACCAATAGAACCATTTGGAAGTGAGAAGAGGGACTAGAGAAGCCAGGATGAGATTAAAGCATTAGTAGTATAATCCTCCTTTCCCTTTTCCTCTTATCTATCCTTGTCTTACCTTCACCAGCTCCAAGAAACCACCTCCTATAACACTAGACCCAGTGTTAGTGCTGGCCCATATGGCATCCTTGTGCAAATTAGGAAAAAAAAAAGTGACTTCTTTGGGTGAATGAAGCCCTGCAGGTGTACATTTTATCAAGTAAACAATACCTTTATATGAATTATCCAAGGGTATCCCTGCCTCAAGGCAGAGCAGCTCCACAGCCAGAATGTACAGCCTGGCAAACAGTATTAGCTAGATTCCATTGCCTGCTTTTGTCTTGCCTGGAAACTGTGTAGGCACAATTTGCACTGCATGAAGGGGTCCTACCCAATCCTCAGTGATGTTTCTTCCTCACAACCCCTTAGGTTCTTAGGATTCAAGAACAATGAAATCTATACTAACCCAATATGTCAACCAATGCAGGAATCTCCTCTTTAATATTTCCACCAATTAACTGTTCAGTTCCTGCCACAGAACCTCCAAATATAGCTCAATCTCTCTTTGAATGTTTTTTTTTTTGCAGTTTTTTATTTTCCTTTTTTTCTGTTAATTTTTCTTTTTTTCCTTTAAATAGTTTATTCTCAAGTTGGTTTCCATATAACACACAGTGCTCATCTCAACAAGTGCCCTCCTCCATGCCTATCACCCCTTTCCCCTCCCCCCCAACCCCCATCAGCCCTCAGTTTGTTCTCAGCATTCAAGAGTCTCTCATGGTTTGCATCCCTCGCTCTCCCCCACTATTTTTCCCCTTCTTCTCCCGCATCATCTTCTGTTAACTCTCTCCTAATCCTCCTATACGTGCAAACATATAGTATCTGTCCTTCTCTGCCTGACTTATTTCGCTCAGCATAACACCCTCAAGGTCCATCCATGTTGCTACACATGGCCAGATTTCATTTTTTCTCATTGCCATGTAGTATTCCTTTGTATATATATACCACATCTTCTTGATCCATTCTTCCGTTGATGGACACTTAGGCTCTTTCCATGTTTTGGCTATTGTTGAGAGTGCTGCTATGAACATTGGGGTCCATGTGCCCCTATGCATCAGCACTCCTATATCCCTTGAGTAAATTCCTAAAAGTGCTATTGCTGGGTCATAGGAGAGTTCTATTGTTAATTTTTTGAGGAACCTCCACACTGTTTTCCAGAGGGGCTGCACCAGTTTACATTCCCACCAACAGTGTAGGAGGGTGCCCGTTTCTCCACATCCTCGCCAGCATCTAGGTCTCCTGATTGGTTCATTTGAGCCACTCTGACTGGTGTGAAGTGGTATCTGAGTGTGGTTCTGATGTGTATTTCCCTGATGATGAGGGATGCTGAGCATTGATTCAAGTGTCTGTTGGCCATCTGGATGTCCTCTTTGGAGAAGTGTCTGTTCATGTCTTCTGCCCATTTCTTCACTGGATTGTTTGCTTTTTGGGTGTGGAGTTTGGTGAGTTCCTTATAGATGTTGGATACTAGCCCTTTATCTGATATGTCATTTGCAACCCCATTCTGTCGGTTGCCTACTAGTTTTATGGATTGTTTCCTTTGCCATGCAGAAGCGTTTTATCTTGATGAGGTCCCAATAGATCAGTTTTGCTCTTGATTCCCTTGCCTTGGGGGATGTGTCAAGTAAGAAATTGCTGCGGTGGAGGTCAAGGAGGTGGTTTCCGGCTTTCTCCTCTAGGGTTTTGATGGCTTTCTGTCTCCCATTCAGGTCCTTTATCCATTTTGAGTTTATTTTTGTGGATGGTGTGAGAAAATGATCTCAAAGCCAAGGGAATCAAGAGCAAAAATGAACTATTGGGACCTCATCAAGATTAAAAGCTTCTGCACGGCAAACAGAATCCATAAAACTAATTGTTCATTTTTGCTCCTGACTACTTTGCCTTTGGAGATGTGTCAAGTAAGAAATGGTTTTAATGGAAAATTCTTCCTTATACAGAGTGGAAATCACCTTCTTGGTAAAATCTGCTTACTTCATTGGGCCTCCTTTTGTATAGGCTACTCTTACTGACTGAAACCTAGATGCCCAAGGCTTGTCTGTGGCTAAAAAGAACACAAATTTATTATCTTACAGATCTGGAAGTCCAAAGTCCAAAATCAGACTCAAAGGGCTTAAAAAAAAATCAAGGTGTTAACAGGGCTGTGTTTCTTCTCAGAGGTTCTAATAGAAAATCCTTTTGCTAACTTCTATAGGCGGCCCACATTCCTTCATTTGTGGTCCCTTCCATCTTCAAGGCCGGCAATGGCCAGAAGAGTCTTTCTCATACTGCATTACTTTCTCCTGCCTCTTCCACATTTAAGAGCCCTTGTAATTTCATTTGGTCCACGTGGATAATCCATGATAATCACCCTATCTTAAATTTGGATGACTACAATCTTAATTCCATATTCTATTTTAATTTGCCTTTGCCATGTAAAATAACTAACATATTTATAGGTCTTGGGAATTAAGATGTGAACATTTTATTCTGCCTACCTCATTTTCCAAAGGAATGTCATAAGAAAGAGATGGAGAGAGTTCATGCAAATGAAGTAGGTAATGACTACCACCTTAAGTATTAAGAAATTGAGGTCAAATAATTACCAAAAGACAGTAAGAATGGAAAGTAGCAGTTCCCTGAGGATGATACCTCTGTGAATAAATGACAAAGCCAATACCTGCATAGCTTGTTTCCAGTACCTCACATAGGCATGTGGCCACTCACGTAGCACACTGTTACGAAATGGTAACATCTAAAGTGTAAGGTAATATCTGAGTGAATGGTTGAAATTTGGAGTCAAATATTCAAATGAGCAGCAGTGTCAGTTATAGTAATCCTCCTTCCTTGAATGTAAGATAGTACTCTTCTAAAATAATTCTACAACCTGGGACTACATAGGAAAAGTCTAATTGTTCTTGTGACAGCCCTTCAACTACTGAAAACTCTTATCCTGTCTCCTATAAATTTCCATTCTAGACCAAATAACTTGACTTCCTCTAACTATTCTTCACATGATATGGTTTTCTGTCCCCTCAGCATCAAGTTCTAAATGAGGAGCCTAACTTTTGCCAGTTAGAGAAAAGTGGCAGTGTTCTGGATAATTCAAACAGCTACAACAAACAAAGACAAGAAGCCTTTAAGCACTATAGCAAGGTTCTCTCCCTCACAACTGCCTTTGGATAGCACACCCTTCTAATTCTTCATAAATGATTATGTTCCTCTTCTGGGATGAGTAAGAAACAAGAAGAAAGTAATAAATAAATTTAAAAACTATAGAAAATATAAAGATTACTCTCAGTCTCAAACTAGGAGACAAATATGACAAAATTTATCTCAAATTCCAAAACTCAAAAGACCATATTCTGCAAAGATAAATAAATGGAGAAAACTGTCCACATATATGAAAAAGAACAAGTAATTTTTCAAGGGGAAATGTTCTGAGAAATCAGAGCAAGTGTCTACTTATGAAACCTTTTCACTGCAAAGAACTAAAATAAACTTTTTAAAAGCATACCCTCAACAAGATCTGAGAGGATGAGCACTGGGTGTTATGTGGAAACTAATTTGACAATAAACTATTTGTAAAAAACAAAAAAAAAACAAAAACAAATACAACAAGGTTGTATTCAAAATTGAATATACCCCCAAACTATAGGTATGCTAATTAAAAAAAATTTTAATAGAAAAAAACAACAACAAGATCTGAGAGGACACTGAATGTATGAAAAGAGAATTTTCTGGGATCCAGAAAGACTACTTTCTGATGAAAAAGCACTTAATTAAAAAAGAATGTAATAGAGGAAGCAAACAGTACATTCAGTTATGACAAAAATCAAATCAATGATTCTAAAGGCTGCTTTAGGAAATTCTCCCAGAACTGAGAGGCAAGAGAGAGTTGAAGATATGAAAGAAAAGCTGAGACACAAGAACAGATTCTGGAGATACACATGCACATGTACATGTACACACACATATACATATACTCAGGATGAGAGAAGAGGCAGAAAGAAATAAATAGATAAAAATTTCTCTGAGCCAGTCTCTCCTCCAGTCATCCAAGATGCCAAAAGGAAAGGCAACTAAGGGGAAGAAGGTGGCCCTGACCCCTGCTGTGGCAAAGCAGCAGGAGGTCAAGAAGATGGTCAATACCCTGTCTGAGAAAAGGCCCAAGAATTTTGGCATCGGATAGGATATCCAGCCCAAGAGGGACCTCATTCACTTGTCAAATGGCCCTGTTACACCTGGCTGCAGCGGCAAAAGGCTATTCTCTCTATATATAAATATCTAAAACTACCTTCTGTGGTTTACCAGTTCACTCAGGCCTTGGACCACCAAACAGCTACTCAACTTGTTAAGCTGGCCAAACAAATACACACCAGAGACCAAGCAAGAGAAGCAGCAGAGGTTGTTGGCCCAGGCCCAGAAGAAAGCTGCTGGCAAAGGGAATGTCCCCACTAAGAGGCCACCTGTCCTT